GGCTTTACTCAGAAAAAAAAATGAATATCGGGGCATAAAACAGCTGTGCTTATTGAAATGACAGACAAAGATGCCTTGAAAATTAATATGTTAGAAGAAAAACAAGAACAGAGATTTCAAAACCTAGCATTTAAAAAATGGAGTGAACAAAACGCCTTATGGCTTGAACATACTGCTCCTGTATAGACATCACAAGTTAGTTGTTTTCCCAGTTTAATCAGTAAGCCAATAAGATCCGGAATGAATGCTCGACTAAAACACATTTACTTAAAATGATACAACAGTTCGAGGTTTCTGGCCACAAAATGCTCAATCCTGACTTAATCATCAAAACTACTCACAGATTTCAGACAGAAAAGGCTCAGCCCTGAATAAGGTCACTTGATTAACTAAAAAAGCTCTAGCCTTTCAAGTGCTTATTTTCTCTGAAGGAAATCCTGCATCTTTAGAACACCTCAAATCTCACTGACTGTGTGTGTGAAGTTTGGGGTCATTCTGCAACAGCCAGTTGGGCTGCTGCCCAGATCAGAATGAGTCTCAACTTGAATCATACTGCAAAACCTTCCTTACTTCATATCACAAAGGTGAAACATATGTAAATTAGAACTTCAGACCTGGTGTGGGACTAATTCTGTTACGTTTTGCTAAGAGTTCTCTCCAGTAAAATATAATACAGGTAATTTGTATGTAGTCTCCAACCCCAGGATTTAAATTTCCCTTAGGCAGCAATAAGTGAGCCACGGAGTGGTTGTTTTATTTTACAATATTCTCTACATTCAGATGAGTTATTGACTCTTGTTTCTGACTCCTACACCAAGAAAGATACTTTTACTGATACACCAATAACTTAAGAGCTTTTTATCTCTAATAATAGCAAATTATGTAATTTAAGGTCGAATATGAAAAAAGTATGAGAGTGATGAAAACTACCTTTTTCCTACAAAATCACATTGATTTTATACACTGAATTTATATGATTTTTATACACAGATTTTACACACTGATTTTTTTTACCCACACATCAAGAGGATTTTTGTCCCTAGCTTCAGTGAGAGTTGAACTTGAGCCTTTAAAGCTGTGCAGTCTTGCTCACTAGAGGTTAGCAGCAAATCTTTTACTACTTTTACTATTTTTGTAAAGTTTGCTCCTGCAATTTCTGATTCACTAGAGTGCTCTAATATTAACTACTTTCAGATTACTTACAGTAAGATCTTTGATGTCCACGACTTCAGTTTGTGTCTTCAAGTTGGGGAAAAAATGTTTGGCCTCCAGATTTTAAAGTATTTTTAAGTGTCATATATATTGTAAGATCTTTTACATATAATCGTATCTTTGTAAAAAAAGGTTAATTTATGGGCTGTAGTTAAAACCTTCGTAAACTTTTCAAGTTAATTCCCACCATATTTTACTTTATCATACACAGTGACACCTCAGTATTATCTCTATATACCTGCTAAGTTTAACACTTTTCAAACAACACCTTGTATTTGTGACAGTTAAAAATAAACACAAAATTTTACCCATGAGAAAAAAAAATAAGAGGAGTACCAGGATCATGGTTAAGATTCCTTTTCTAGGAAATGTTGCTCTCTTGATCCTGAATTCCCTGAGTTACTGAGAGTTTGAAATGGTTTAAATGTGCTTGATGTAAAATTATTCCAAAAGCCTTGGAATATAATTTGCTCTGTACAGGAGGAAATTTGCAACTACTAAATCTAGAAAATAGCACTCATTCACAAGCCTTCTAAACTGCATAGAAAGAGTCCTACCCACTGATAAATTTCAAAATTCCACATTAGCAGGCTCAATTATAATATCCACTGCAAATAGCATATCAGTGCATCATAGTTACAGCAATCAGCTTCCAAAACGGGATATCATGGCCCTGAACTCAACCACACGGAGAAACAACTCAGAGTTTTAAAAGGACTTAAACAGATTTGCGGCAAAGAGGTTTGCATTTCAACAGAGAAACAGCAAAAGGCAGAGGATGAGCACAGTTCAGGAATCTGAAAACCCACCATTCAGTCACCCAACGCTCCAAGAGAGTTCGAAACCTCAAAAAACCCCAAATGAACATACAGAATGAGTGACATACGAACGAAACATGCCTCCTTCTCTCTACTTTCAAATGCTTCTTACTTTTGAGCTAAATGCTTTTATTGATCCTAACCACCTCCAACAAGCTTTACAGCTTGCAATATTCACAAATCCAGCATAAAGGGACTAATACAGAAGGCAATTTTCTACTCCCAAAGAATATCTTGTACCTAAACTGACTTCCTCTCATTTAATTGATTTGCTTCGATCATTCCTTAATATTGGTGAACACGAGTGAGTTTGGATATTTTTTCCCCATTCTCTGCAAAACTTCAACTGGGGAAAAAACCTAAAAATTTTGTAGAAACACACACGTACACACGGAGAGGAGGGGTTCTGGTGGAGGTGGGGAAACCAGCAGTTCTGACCCCAGCGGGGCTCAAGTGCCCACTGCCACATCCTGCCGCCGAGGTGGCACTTCGGTGGACGGGAAGCGACCGGAGCAGCTGCGGTGGCAACAGCGGGGTGGACGTTCGACTGAGCAGAGGGCTGGTCATCCCTGCCCGTCGGCCGGGGCTGGGGGAGGCCGAGCTGCAGCCGCGGCGGCCCGGGAACAACAAAGTGGGCTGTAAAGCCTCCAGGTGGTGGGTGTATTTGTTGTCCTGTCTGCGAGGTGCGGTGGCTCCCCGGCCCCGGCAGATCCTAGTGCTGCTGTGGACATTAAGAAAAGTCTCTTTTGGCTGATTCCAAAACCAGATAAGGAGCCGCCGAGTCACCAGCTATGTCTAGACACCGGACCTCACAAGTCAAACGGGTTGTTTGGATTAGCCTTGGCGATCTACCGACCTGAACAGCCCTCCTAAAGAAAAGCCACAGTAACACTCTATTTTCCTCTTCCCATTGCTCCCCGAGGTCTTCCCGGAGATAGAAACCAAGCTCTCTTCTAATGCGTGTAACTTCTTTCTGGAAAACTTCTCGCCCTCTCTTTTTCCCCCTCAATCACACTTCACCCTTTTTTGTCTGCCAGGAGAAAATTAAAAAAAAAAAAAGAAAAAAAAAAAGGCAAAAAGACACTCCAGCAAACATCCTGTTTTGCAAGCTCCCTCCTTCCTTCTTTCCCCGCGCTACACACCCCAGAAGAGAGCGGGAGCTGCAGGTGGTTCCTCCAGCGGCAGCCGCGGCGGAGCCCGGTCGGGCTGCCCTGCAGGATCATTGTCCCGGTGCCGCCAATCCCGGAACACCGGGCCCGGGGCGCGGGTCTGACGCGGTGAGGCTGCGCGCCCTCCCTGCCTCCATCACTCTCCCTCCCTGGCCTCGAACAAGCACTTGTTTAGTGTCTCTTAGCCGCTGCGGGAAAATTTAAGGGAAATTCAAACGAAACAACAGCGTGATGTAAAAGCAGCATCTTTCGGCTGGGATGCTGCGCAGAGCGGCGCTCAGAGCCTGCCCTGAGCTCCGGCACGGGCAGAAGGCTCGGAGAAAGGCACTTATTGATTTTACTAGCCTTGCCCCTGGCAAGGCCCTCATTAGAGGGCAGATACCGTGCAATATGGAAAGGTCGGCTATACGGGCGAGCCTCTTCCGCTCACCGCCCCCCCACCCCTCCCCCGGAGCCTGTCTCTCTTGGGAGCTGCCTTCTCTGCCTGCACTTCACAAGCCTCGGGAGTGATCCTACACCAGGGCCGGCACATTGGGAGCTGTTTATGTTTGTGGCGCCTGAGCTCAAACAGTCATTCAGTGGCTTGCACTGTTATCAAGAAAACAACAATCAGGAACAATCAGTAAACAGGATCTCTTTCCAGCCCCTTTATTAACTACTTACAGCTCCACTGAAGCACGCAAAGCGCCCAGCAGCGGCATCTCTCACCGTAAAACGCTGCCGGCGTTTCGGGCGTGCAGACGGGGCCAGGGAGGATGGGTGCGCGTGAAACCCACTCGGCACCACGGCTCCCTCCCGGGAGCTGCGCTGCGGCTGCGGCGGCCTGAGGGCCAACACTGCCGGAGGGACCCTGATTCTTTCCCTGACATCCACTCTTGGGTGACTCAACGTGGTTTTGTTAAGATATGTATGCATTCATATTTATATAAAGGCAAACACTTACTGTTGAGATGTTTAACTGATCTCAACTCTGGAATTCACATACCCGGTTTCTGCGTCTCATTGCCACGTTGGCTGGGGATGCTGTGAGCTAATTAGCCTGGTACAAATATTGAAATGAGAAGAGTCTGAATATTGGTCTCAGTGTGTGCGAACAGAATCTTCAGAGAAATTACCGCAGGCTTTAATAGGCCTTATTTGACATTATTAAAACTAGCTGCAGCAAGAAGAAAACCGACGGACCTGGGACTGCTAATCGCCACCCTCGTCCATATTGGAAGGAGAACTCAGAGCAGGAACCTGACAGAGCGCCATAAGGACATGCATTTCATGAAGAGGAGCTTTTCTCTCGCTTACACAAATTCTGCTGCCCAAGGTCAGGAAGGGTGTTCTCCTGAAGGCGCTGGGAGAGTCCGCTCGACAGTTTGTCTTTATTTGCTCCACGGCAGAACACATTCGAAGGTTTGCGGTGCGCTATATGTCATGGAAAAGGGAACTAAAGGCCATAAAAGAAATAATCTTAAAATAAGGCGAATTTTTTTAACCGCAGTTTCGAGGTTGGAGGCTCCGGGGTGCGCTTCCTGAGGGACGCGGAGACCACCGAGCGGCTGCCGCAAAAGTGACCCGCCTGCTCCCTCCTCCTGGACAGGGTGGGGGGGCTCAGGCCCCTGCGGGGCTGCAGGCAGGAGCCTGGCGGTAGATGTGGGTTCAAGCACATGCCCAGTGGGATTCCCGCCCGCAGTCCGCTGCAGAACCGCGACAGCGCTCCGACGCCACAGACACCCTGCTGCCCGGTGTGTTCCAAGGGCCAAGACGCTGCGCTTGCAGCCAGAACGTCAGCCCCTGTGCGGCTTATCTCGGCGACTGCCCCAGCCGCCCACAGGGTGCGTCGGGACCGCGGGGCCCAGGGCTGGGGGGGCTGTCCCCCCGCCAGGACCGACCGCCAAAAGTCGCCCTTCCCTCCGTGCGCGGCCCTCGGAGACGGCAGACATTCAGCGGCCCTAAGGTCCACCCCGGGGCCGGGAAGCGGCTCTCAGCAGCGCCCTGGCGCGCAGGTTGCTCTCTCTCTCTGGGTCCCTGCCCCCCCGCAACCCCGTGGAGCCGCCGCTCTTCCCACCTACGCGTTAAGCCTCCCGGCGGTAAGAGGCGAATGCAAAGGCTCCAGGGTTGCCCTGCCCTTACACGTTACCAGCGCCAGTTACAGACCCTCCCGAGTCGGAGACTGCGTCTCCAAACTCACCCAATTAAGAGGGACTCCAACAACTTACACGTCAGACTACGGGGCAGAAATGATACCCCTTCTCCCTCCCGCCCCCCGAAGCGCCGTACCAATCCTCTGATCCTGCATGAAAACACAAGGGTTACTGGTCACACAGTTTAAGGTAGATTTCATATTTATTTAAATATTTATCAAGTACTCAAAAATGTATTACACTTGAGCATACAAAATGAATCCAGTTTCTAATCAGGATGACTGAAATCCTTGTATTAGATTTTAAACATTTTTTAATGTTCTCTGTACTGTCGAAATGGTTTGTCTATAGCTGAGCTTGCTCAGGGTGGGCTGAGATGGTGAGGAGGGAGGAAAAAGAAGGTTATGTTAAGAAAACATTGGGGTTTGGAGGAACCGACATGCAAACCAACTTGTCTTTGTCAGACTAAAAATCTCTGTATATTCCAGTCCTTAAGGGTGTTTTGAAGCGAACCTTTGTCTTGTGCTGCCCAGGAGCACTAGGGAGCACACTTGGATTAGAGCAAAAACAACCCTTTCCCATTTTTTTCTTCTTTCAACTTTTCCCCAAGAAATCGCCCACGTTTCGAGCTTTCACCACCCTCTGCCCCACAAATTAAAAAAGGAATAAAAGACGGAGTGAAGAGAGGGAAGTCGACAGAAAATAAGGAACATATTCGTGCAATTTCACAGCAATATCCCCGACAGAAATATCCCCACAACTATTCCTCCTGCAGCATTATTTAATTGTTTTGACAGCAGACACTGATAAATAATGGTATACTTGACTTGTTAAGCAAAAAGCGTCCTTTTTATCAGGAGCTTATACTTAAAGCACAGGTCACTTCAACAATCTCAACAACGAGGCTTTGGTATACAGCACTTTCTTTTTATTATTTTTTTAAAAATAGTAGAACTCAGCAAAAAGCCTGAGTTCCCAGTTCTTTAGATGTTTTAACGTTATGTCAGATCATGCCTAGAGTAATATCATTTTCAAGGGCAAGGGATGGGGTGGGGAGGAACAAGAGACCTTCTAACGTTATCAATTGAAAGCTAAGGCATCCAACTAGCCCTGATACAGTTGTTGAAATGGAAATTTACAAGCTGGTCGTTAATACTTGCAATAAAATATCACACTCCTTTTATTCACTAACGACCTGCTTTGCATGCAATATTTTATTTCAGGTATTTTAACTGCTAACCTGTAAATATTTAAAAGAGGGAACTTTGTTCATTATTTAATGTTAATATTATTATTATTTTCTCTATTTCAAACGCTTATCTAGTGAAATAGTCCTGAAGATATAATAATTCTACATATGGCGCTTTTATTTCACATCATATTTAAGGAAAGAAAAAGGACAAAACCCACATAGAATTAGACATATAATTCAAAGACCACGGTACAACCTCTTCTTTTTTTTTTTTTTTTTTTTTTTTTTTACTTGAGCAAACAAAAAATAGTCAAATGACATGAAAAGTGGCAAGTCTTCCGATAATAAATAATAAATTACTTTATAATTTTGCAATGCAAGAGCAAACAAAAAGAGTGATTTTTTTTCTTTTCGCTTTTCCTTTTTTTACCTTATTTTTTTTAACTTTTTTCTTTTTTTTTTTTAGAGAGTGAGAGAGAAAGAGAAAGAGAGAAAAACAGTCCTTATAACCAATGACTATACACATCTTTGGGGGAGGGGAAGGTTCTTGGGCAGACACATTTCAAACACAATCCCGAGACGCTTTGTGGCAAAATAGAGGTATACCTTGTTGCAATGTTTTTATAAATTGGTTTCAAAGAGGAAATCGAAAATCTATTTTTAATCATCTAAGACTTAATAGGGGGTGGATCTCAACCAAACAAAACCAAAACCCCGCTACAGACATGCTAGAAGAGACCCAGGAAACAACCCCTTGTTAAGAGTCAACTAAAAACAACATTGCAAACCAACGCAGCTCCACCTTCCTGCAAGGAATCTTTCAACAATGCAGGGCTGAATCGTCTCTTTCCTGATGATGGAAAACCTACTGGAGCTTCTTTTGGCAAGGCTATCCCCAATATTGAAACAGCACCATTCGGATTGGGAGGGACCAGATAGAAAGTCCCTCTACCTTGGTTTCTCCCTAAGATGTGCAGTCAAATGAAAAGATTTTTTTTTTTTTTTGAGATCCACAAGTACAAATCCTTTACATTTGGAAAACGTCTTTTTAATCCTCCTCTGATCATTGAAAAGCACGGGGTTTGTGGTTCTTTTTAGTATTTTTTTCTAGTGAGATCCCATGATTGTCTTCACAGTGTTGCTACCATATTACCTTGTCTTTTCAAACATGACTCCGTTCATCTCATGGAACAGTTCCTTGCTAGGTTTCTTACAGGGTTGTTAAATATTCTTTCCCCCTAAATTTCGGAGTCACAACACGTTCACTTTCCCACTCTCTCCAACGGGATGAGGATAAGGGCAGAAACAACAACAACAGAAATCTGAATGAGTGTTCCTCATGCCTCAATAGGACTGGCTACCATGCTGTTGGGTGTATCTGGCAGCTGAGAGGACATTGATGCTACTTCACTTCCAGTAGAATTGGAACCGGGTCCTCCTTCCGAAAAATTAACCTGCCAAAAAAAAAAAAAAAAAAGAAAAGAAAAAAAAAGGAAAAAAAAAAGAAGAAAAATAAGAAAAAGAAGTTTTGCTACAACTGTAAAAATCAACCAAAAGTAGCAGGTAAAGACAAAGAAGAACACAAAAATAAATACACAGGGCATGCAGCCGAATGGCCCGATACATCTCCACAGGAGGCTGTGTCACTGCTGGTTGCTCTGTTTAGCTTCCCCATTGACTTCACAGGAACCCTTTTCAGGCCTTTGGCCAAATCACCAAGAAAAAGTAGATTAAAAAAAAAAAAGGAAAAAAGAAGACTGAAAAATCAAGCAAATAAACAAACTTATTAATGAGCTCTTCTTCCCTGTGTTGCAAGAGTGGCAATCCCAACAGGATGTTCTAGTCAATTATTTAGGAGTGCATGTGTTTTCTTGACAGGAAACTGAAAGGTTACCTTTTTCCCCTTTTGTGCACATACGAAAATAAACCTGGAAGGAGCATCCAGGAGCAGAAGGCATTTGAAACCAGCCATCCTCTTTCATTCGTGATTTGAGGCGGGTGCTATCTCTTCGTAATGAGAGTCAGTTTGATAAAAAAGGTCACACTATTTCATCCTAATGTGCCCCGCTGCTCCCGTTAGTTTAGGAGCAGCGTCCGGAAAAGGCATGATTTGAAGGGTGGAGCTTTGCTAGTCCAAAAGCATTTCTTTGGCACCTATTTAGCTGGCCAATCCTGTGATTAAGGGCCTTCCAGATTAGAGACGGTGCCTTGAACAGTGGATGAACTCTTTCATCCACTATTCTTTATTTTAACTCTTTTCAGTATCACAAATTATGTAGAATGTATATTAATATTAATCTGTCAATCTAATGATCTGCCTTTAAGCATATGTGTATTTGGATTACCCATCTTCTCTTCTGCCTTTTTTTTCCTCTGTTTTTGAACTCACTGCATCAAAGATTTCTAAAGTCTCATCTTCTGTTAAGGCACAGGAAAGTAAGGCAAGAGAAGGAGATAATTTTTCCTCCTGTCTGATGGACAGCTTGATTAAAGCAGGAAAAACAAGGGTTGCTCTGGATGTAAGAGGATGCAAATAGCCCTGCTGCTATGCTATATTTCCCTGAGCCAGCACAGTGTGCCAGCAAGGGAAACAAACTGCAGACTGCTGTTGGGCGAAAGAAAAGTGATTCTGCAAGAGAGCATGGTACTAAACCGAAAAGATTTGAACACAATGCTAGATTCAGCTACAAACCTTTATCTTGCATCATTTCATGTAAGAAAAAAATGTCCAACAGATCATAAAAGGGTTTATATGTTAATTTTTCATAACTACTATTTTGAATTATTGAAATACCATACACAACGTACCTTATTATTTTAAAGATCTGGTTTTAACACATTTAGGCCAGGAAACTGAGTTAAGGTTGAACTTCTGTCCTTAATTCACCTGGTTGGGCCTAAGTATTGTAGATGATATGGTCCCATATGAGCTGCCAAGTGACGTAGGCATAAGGAAGGGAGTTAAGAACAGAATTTATTCTAAAAGGTCTGTTTTCTTTCGGCTTAAGGTAGTTTATTATAGTGCTTGAATTTTTCACCTGAATACATACTAGCAATTTCCTTTTCAAAGGACAACATTTAAAATAAGCTATATATGTGTATATTTGTCTGTTTATGTAGATATATGAAGTTATATCTAGAGAAACATGCTTAAAAGGACTTCAAAATTTTAATTAAGTGACTGATATTTGTGTGACCAAACAAGGGCCCGGGCTGACATTGCAATCATGTATTTAAAATTCAGCCTATGGCATAAAGGCAAAATTGGCCCAAAGTGGGGAGGGGCAAATTTTATAAACTGCTTTCACAAATGTAAGTACAATTAAGTGAGGTGTTAAGAATGTTTTAGTTCTCTGGATGAGGTGCTGTCAGTTTTCAGGAGTGTGAAAGCTGAGTTATTCTCAGACCTGGCTCAGGCCTTATCCAAACTCACAGTCAACCCCGCAAGAGCTCTGCTGTACGCTAAGGTAGATTTTGCATCAACCCCTATGATATCAATTCAATTCTCCATGTTTACAGGTGCTATCATGTTCACCTTGTAATTTCGGGGAAACCCAGCTAGTGTGGATTGCTCGTCTCACTGAGAGCATCCAACACTTTTAATGAATCCCCAATTGCTCTGCCCCTGATACCGGCTGGGAACCGACACTTACTAGTTGCTGAAAAGCAGGTTGGTCTATGTCACTCTGCAACGCGAAGTCACTCAGTACTTTCCAGGGCGGCTGGTAACTCTGCACCTCCACGGGGTTCGCCTGCAAACCACCGTCATGTCTCTCCGGACTAGCAGCCACCATAGGAGTTCCTGTCATCCCTTGGATATTCTGTAAACAGCCCAGCAAAAGATGTTAATGAGCTTGATTAACTTCATTGTATATAAGTGCTGAGTCAATAAACTGCTTTCTATCTTATCTATACGGTCTCTTGTATTTGCTTTGTTAATCTGCTGTGAATGTCTTACTGTATTCTACTCTAGGTCAGCCTGTTTCTACCCGCTGCATTTATCACGGTGGAAGTTTACTTTCTTTCCCTTTAATGCTCCTATTCGTCTCAAGGCATACTCCCTCCGTCCTAAGCTTTCTTAAACCTGAGCATTCTGTATCTCGACTGCCGATGCACGTCTCAGAACAAGAAACGGTTAATTATGCTCCCTTCCTATGTCGCATCCAGGCTGGTTTTGTTCTGCATGACCTTAACTAGATCGTATATCCACTGCACGACATCCACTGGGGTACGTCATTACCGCGCTCTTAATAAACAAACAAACAAAACAAAACAGCCCTCCCAGTATGCCCTATGGTGCAGGCACAGTATACAACATAACTCCAAGCCTCGACGAATAGATTGTTCAGGCGAGTTAATAACACCGTGTTTTATTGCATTCCAACAGGGTAAAATGAAACTCCTTAAATTCCACTTAACTAGGCAGCCTTATGGATTAATAGTCATTCTCAGGTCAGTCAATATATACACAGGGAGAGTAACAGACTCTTCTTCAAGTGGACTAGCGACAAAAGAAAGAAAAAAACTGGCTTAAAATGGAGACAATTTGTTCGACTTTCTGCTCGTTTGCATCACACACGCATATGTCCACAGGCAAGAACTCCAAATATATAAAACTATCTATAAGTTAACCTGTAAACAGTATGGTAATTCTGAAAAATTTGCATTGTATTTGTCTTTTTCTGCAGTAAGTGCACTGACACACACCTATATATCCTGTAGTATATAATGTGCTAAGAAAAACACATCTAAATTGCCTTTTATCCGTCTTCTTTTTTAACTTTTTTTTTTCCCCTGTTGGATTTACTTCTGTTTAAAACGAGGGAAGAGGGCAAAAGCATTATTTTCCCCTTAAGGAGTCCTTTGCTTTTGCAGTATCAGCATTACACAAAGCTGATACACATCCCATGAGCTCTGCAGGTCACAATTCATGCTGCAGAGAAGTTAGTCTAAACCACTGCGTATCTTTTAGCCCCGCAAAAGAGATGGGTTTGCGTGAGCAGCCTGTGTCTGCTCCTTTCTGTGGTCTGTTTCGATTGCACTGACAACAGAAACAAACGGTAACAGCTAAGCGGTATCGTTTTCTTTGTTTTAAGGGAGCTCGCAAAAAATCAAAAGCATCAAACCGAGCCCTGAGGCTGTCCGAACCGGACGTATCCCAGGCGATTCGCCTTGGCAATTAAGGCAGAACATGGACAGAAGCTGAAGCCACTTACAGTTTTGTCATTGGGTTGCTGCTGCTGAAGTTGCTTCATCATAATGCTCCTTTTTTTATCCTTGCATCGCTTGTTTTGAAACCAAACCCTGATGACCCTCGGGCTGAGGCCAGTCATTTCTACCAGTTGCTCTTTCATGAGGGCGTCAGGCCTGGGGTTGGCAGCGTAGCAGGTCCTCAAGGTGTGAAGCTGTTTTTCATTAAGGACAGTCCGGACTCGGGTGGTCTTCTCGGGCTGCTTGTGGACGTGGGGCCGCAGAGCTGGCTGTCTGGCAGAGATAGGTTCTGCTGTAGGGGAAGGGAGGAACAGGATCCCCATGAGTAGGGAGCAGGGAGTCTGCGGAGACTATGAATCTAAGCTGGTGGGACAGGGGGAGGGGGCCGGGGGGGGGGTGATGAACCCTCTTTCAAAGGCCATTCAAACACTCAGATCTATCGGAGCTGCTGCAGACTCCTCTGCTTTATGCGCTGGTGGAGTGACTGACATTTCTGACTCCTCAGATAATTAATTTGCAAAAACAAACCACCCCCCTAAAACCCTTAATGACAGAAGCTTGAACCTGTATGAGACTTGACAGGGGAGGGTGAGTTTGCTAAGGTGTATGTGTGCTAGGAAAGGAGCAGGAGGGTTTTGTGTGTTTATCTCCTGACAAATCACCGAACCAGATTTTTGGGCCAAAAATTAATGAACGAATACTTCTTAAATTAATCATAATTCGGGTCTGCTTCTTGTATAGTGAATCTAGCTCAGTTTAGCCAGAAGCCGCCATAACGTGCAATAGCTCCCGGTGGTTTGATGCTTCCAAATCAAAGCAAAACAAGCGAAATCCTCTGCACCAAGGCCATGGAGGAAAAGCTTGTGAGAGCCCTATATACCAAAGCACGGAGGATGGCATCTATCTTAGAAAGTGGAGGTGCTAGGTGAATTTGTTTAGACTTAAGAAGAATAATTTTTTTAAAAAAAAGTTTGTCTGATTCTTTAAAAAGGAGAGCAAGCCCAGAACTCGTGGAAACGGCCAAGAAATGCAAACCTACGGGTAGCATCACATCAAGAGCTTAAAGTGTTCCTGTAATTCTGCCATTCTTCTGTGCGTTGTGTAGCTGTAGCTATGTAGGTGTAAATTGACCCAGTCAAGGGAAAAATAAAAACACTGCTATTTTTCCCCCCCCTAAAACTGTTTAGCTAACATTCTGAGGTGCTTGCTTTTGTACAGTCGGGTTCCGATTTCTCTGAGTATAACAATACATCAGCAGATGCGATGAAGACATTACGAAGGCTTCCAATCTTATCAGTATTATACCTGCCGACACAATAAGCCTTTCGGAGACATGCACAAACACGCTATAGGGAGCACAATCTCTCTAGAATTGTGCCCTGATAAGGTACAGGATTATTTCTTCCTATATAAAGATAAGTCACCCGAAAGCAGCTCAGAAGAGGGAAACGAGCCTGTTTTAGCATAGCTAAACTTTGCAAATAACCTTCCGAGATACAGTTACATGCACAGCAATAATGCCGGCCAACCTTGTATCGTCCAGCCTAGTTTGCCTCAGAGACATGTCCCTTCCTAAAGCTAAGAGTCTCTGAGTAGCTGACGTGCCACGTCGAGAACTACAAGTGTGAATGAAGTTGTAAGGTGGGGCGACTCTGAAGTTACTAGGCTGAGTTTTGAGATGAAATTCTCATCAAAACACGAGAAACGTTTCAAGAAGGCAGAGTCACTTTAAAAGACAATTACCGAAAATTAGCTTGTTGACAGTTTTAAATTACAGCCTAAGCGCTCGCCTGTACTTATGAAGTCTATCTCTTTTAGAACCCCACTTCCTCCAGCGTTCAGAACGGCTTCTGCACACGCTCCTGAGGCGGCCGAGAGATCGGCCGGCGCTTTGCCGTAGACCTGCTCGCCGCAGCGGCCCGTCCCTCTCCGACTCAGGCTCAGGCTCAGGGGTCGGGAGGGTGTGACGGAGGACTCCTGCACGCGGTGCGCGCTGGGGGCAGGAAGAGCGGGGGTGCGGCCCCTCCGCAGGTGTCCCGCTTCACGCGTCCCGCGAACGCGAGCTTTTCTCGCGGCAGCAGGACCCGCGGCAGCCCAGGGCGTGGGGCAGACACCGCCGCCGGCGCCTCTCCGAGGAGGTGCGGGACCCTGTGGGAGCGTGGAACTCTCCCTGCCGCCCAGCGCGGGGCCGGGCGTCGCCAAACCCCGCGGGCTCCCGCGGCGCTGGGCGCGGGCGGTACCTGCCATCTGCAGCGGCCGGGCGGGGTGCAGGGGGCTGAGGGGGTCCCCGCCGCCCAGGCTGGCCCGCTCCACCACGTCGTGGTCCGCCCGGCAGAAGAGGCCGTCCTCCCGCAGCGCGAATTCATCGCCTGGGATGAGCTGGCGGCTGCAGGCCACGCAGCGGAAACACTCGATGTGGTACACCTTGGCGCGGGCGCGCATCACGAAGTCATTCTTGCTGAAGCCGATGCTGCATTTGGCGCACTTGATGCCGTATAACCTGAGCAGGGCCCAGCCCAGAAAGAAAGAGAAGGAAGGGAAGGAGGGAGAGCACGGGAGGGGGAAGGGGAGGGTAGGGAAGGGGCGGGAGGGAGAAAGGAAAGGAAAAAAGAAAGAGGTTTTCACTCCCGCTCGTGGGCAGCCCCTGGCCCCGCGTAGACGCGCCACACGCAATCCACTTCTTTAAAAAGCACGAAAAATACAGAAACCAGAAGAGGAAAGGAATAAGCCGGATTCGTTTGCTGTCCGTGCGCTGATCCCCATGCCGTAAAAGGTGGAGGGGGCCCGAAAGCAACGGTGGAAGAGAAGAGTGGTGAGGCAAAGGTGTAAGAAGAAAAAAAACAAGGACCCCTTTGCTTCCCGAGGAGATCCGACCTCTCCCTGCTGTCCCAGCGCCCGGGCTGAAGCGGGAGTGGGGCCGTTACTGCCCTCTCCCTGCCTCCTCACCTGACCTAAACTGGCCTGGGACTGAACTGGACTACCCGGGCACACCACGGAAAGGCGACGCTGCCAAAGCTACCATGCACTCCACGCATACAAACCTGCCAGCCTCACCAAACTGCCGTATTTTTTTGCGCGGAACCCACTCAGGACTTGTACCGCTTGATGTGTACCTGGACTGCCGTTAGCTTAGCCTCTGGGACACGGCAGGGGAGACTACCAGCGCACGGCCTCTTCCCCTCGTCCTCTCTCACCAGGTTAATTTGATACAACAATATAAGCATACACACATGTATCCTCAGGCTCACATATATAGTAGTGTAACTTCCCTCCCCAACTAAAAGGCAGTTTGGGTGCTCTGGCTTTGCAGCCTGTCCCTTCCTTAGCCTCCCTGCCCTGTTTTCCCTCTTCCTGACGCTCCCACCTTGAGCCGGGGCTCAAGCTTTCCCGCAGGAATGAGAGGGCAGCTCCTTGCTGACAGCCCCACAAGACAAATAATACGTTTCTGGAGTGGATGGCGGGCTCCTTGTCTCCCGTGGAGGAAAGCGGGGTAGTTCACCCATCAGTAGATAAACACGAGAAAATCCTCCAATTCGGGTGTCTAGCACTGCGGTCTTTTGGCTCCCAACGAGTGCTCTTTAGCCAGAAGCCTTCTTAATACGATGTAAAATTAACATCTTTCTGCAAATGTACGGATATACGCACATATGCATGCTCACGATTCAGAGAACTGTGAAAACTGCTCCTAAAACTAGGCTAATATTTATTCCCATTCATTTCCTCACCAGTATACTTCCTTGGAGATACAGTCTGTAAAACATGCATGTGGGTACAGATGTTATTTAAATACTTCTTTAGCTGCTACGGCTATAAAGATGTGCTAGTCCTATATTCAGAGCTACCTATATCCAAATTATAGTTTTGAGAAGAAAAACCCCAAACAAACAGCTAGACAGCAAAAGAACAGAGTGATCGTAAAGCATGTGCATTCATATGTACAAAAGTTCCGGTAGTTGCCCACAGGATTGACTACTATAGATTGGCTCACGGTCTAATTCAAAGTCACCTTGCATGTAACATACATCTTCCTTTTTAAATTGTAGACAATTAAATGTATTCCATATTAACTTAATAGAGCAGCATTTTTTTTCTGCTTAAATTTCTCCCGCTGAGTTTTATCAGGAGGTAAGTGAACACAATTCAGTCCAAACGTTTTCCTTTCATTTGAAATCAGTGAAAGGACAACACTTAAAAGAATGGCTCCAAAGTTCGTTTAAAAGTAAAGAATGAATGAGTAAATAAATAAATAAATAAATAAAGCTTAAAAGCTCTGGTTTTCATCATTATAGAACTTAGAGAATAATCTCACAATGGTTTGAAGGAACGGTCTGTTTATAAATTGTGCACTGGAGCAGGAAAGAATCAAGGGGTTTATTTCAGTTCAGAATTACACAGAAATCAGACGATATTTTAGGTGACTCGGAGACTTGCTTCCAAAACTTTCTGTAGAAAATATACTTTTCATACCACAGTGTCATGCAAACTTCTGATTTGGCAAACCCGGTAGGTGACACTGAAATGGATCAGCATGAGCCAGGACCACAAATAATAAACACACTCGAAATTCCTGCTTTGGTTTCTCTATAGTGTCAGGATTGGCAACGTTCACATTTTATCAGTTACCAGATTTTAATGTGAGGAAGGAAGCGGTTCCATTATCTAAATATACCCAATTGTTCACGAACAGATGATGGGCAATTTGATCTGGTCTGTCTAATTCATCAGTACAGATAAGATAAGAAAGCAAAGGCAGTCAGATATCACCAAAGGGGTTAATATTTAAAAAGATTAAATGTCAGTTATTTTAGCTAAGAAACATTTCAGTCGAGGTTTTAACATCGCCATAAAAGGAACCTTCAATATGAAGGAAATTTGGGGTTTGTTTCTGTTTTCCTTTTGCTTTCTGTTTTAGACAGGCCTGGTTTAAGATTTTTTTTTCACCCGTGTATTTATTTTTGCGGCATACGTGATTGAAGAGCCTTTTTTATGAATGCCATTATGCCTTTGCAAAAACACAGAGGGATGCTTTTCTCAGGTTGTGTTAGAAAGCAATCACTTCTATGTTGCTCATAATATCTACATGGTTAAAAATATCCATTATCTATGATTTCCCATTTCGTTAGAATCAGAGGTTGCCTTGACAAAGTCCTCAGAAAGATCCTACACAGTTTCGAACCTGGTTTTGTTTATATAGAAATTTGCATTTGAATTTAAGGAATAAAAAACTTCACGACTACCTTTTCTCCTTGCCGGTCTATCTATGGGAAACCACTTAAAAATATACGAATTGTCTTTTACCCTCTTCCTCACAATTTTTCCTCTTAATGTGTCTGTCAAATTTATAAAGTTAAAAATAAAAATAAAATCTCACCAAAGAATTAAACACTATAAAATCTCACCGAAGAATTAACATAAATGGCATACCTGATATAATCTCTTTTACAGTAGGTTTTGCCATCCCTAACAAAGCACGTACAGGTCTCGTCCAAATACTGATTACACTCTGCACACTTCAAACACGCCGCATGCCATTCCAAATCCGGAGAAACCCTCAGAATATACTGATCGTGAATTTGATTGCCGCAACCAACACATAGGGAAATCAGACGTTTTTCTGAAATGAAAATAAATACATGATTGACTAACCGTTTACTCTCCTACAGAGATAAACACACTTTTAATGCCATTCCCTTATAAAGCGTACTCTGAGAGTGTTCTTGTTTGGTTTTTGCCTTTTTTTGTTTGTTTTGGGGGATTTTGTGTGGGGGTTTGGTTGTTTTTTTAATGGGTTTGTTGGTCTTGGGTTTCGGGTTTTTTTGTATTGCACTTTTGGATGATAACTGAAGTGTGCCATCAAAACCTTGCCTCGTTTAGAAAGGAGGCGGAACATATGTTAAAACACAAATGTGAAGAGTCTTTGGGGTGAAGGTCCTCATTTCACAAGCCTTGCATGGAATCAAAACTCCAAACTCCCATGTTGTTTTATTTTTATTTTATTATTTGCTTGGTTGAATGCCCTGCCTTACGAGGAGAGCAGCTATGTGTATTATTTCATATTTTAAGAGGCTGTGACTGAAAACGATGAAGCATGGCTGCGTGCACTTCCCATTCAGCCTTCTCCCTCAGAAGAGGGGAGTCGAGGCTTCTAGCAAGAACAAGCATCATTACGGTTGTCACTTGCTCTTTTTCGTAAGTCTAATGCTAACTACCCTAGACCGAGTAGGTGCTGGATAGTCAGCCTCACCGCAGTCTTACCACAAGAAGAACTTAAGGCTCCGTGGTTGGAGATCCCATTAAAATCCTGTCTGCTCCACAAACTTTAAAAGAGAGCAGGACCCCAGGCTGTTAACATATAACGCTACGACGTTAAAACAGAGCAAGCATGCAGGCATGGCAACAAAGGCACCTTCTCTACCACTCAAATGAAGTTCAGCACTTTAGCAGTTCGCCTGCCTGACACGGTTACAATAGACAGCACATTTATTCCAACAACGGTAAAGATTCCGCCTTACTTTTTGGTGGGTCTCCCATGTCTCCCATATCTGAAAGAGGGTGTAATGTCCACAGTGAAATGGTGTACGGTTTCGTTTTAAGACCCCAAAGTAGGTTTGAGAGCTGTCGCTAAAAAACAAAAATAAAAAAAAAAATAAAAAGTAGTAGTAATAATAAAAAGGAAAAAAAAATCGAAATCGGGGGAAAAAAAAAAGAAAAAAAAAAACCGGCACGAAACACCACCGACGTGGGGAGACACTGTCAGGGCTGCGGAGAGCGCAGGGGGCGCGCGGTGCGGGGCGCGGCGCCGGGGGCGCGGCGGGATCCGGCCACGCGGAGCGGAGCGGTAGCGGTGCGGTGGCGGTGCGGTAGCGGCGCTGTGCGGGCGCGGTGCGGTGGCGGTGCGGTA